GAAGGCACAACAGCCGCATCTTTCTCAATACTGGTCTTCCTCCTTTTCTTCAGAAGGCCCTGCTCATTTGGAATATATTGCTTGGAACTGATTAGGTTGTTGGAGACCAGAGCTTCTTGATATCTATCCAATTCATTGTGAATTCTAAGGAGAGATTTCAAATTTCTGTTTTTCCTTTTTTTCCACATATTATAAACAGGTTTCTGGGTTTCTGGTTGATTGAGTGATTGAGGTTGAAATTGAATGCCTTGTGGAACCTTGGTTTCATCCTGTTTCCTTCTCAACTCACCATTGATTTCCGGGGCTGGCATTGGATGACCCTCTGTTACAAATTCTCCCATACTATTACTGAGATAACTCAAGTCAAGCCTGCTTTCAGATATCAAGTTATCTGCCTCCATGTTAGGAACATGAGATACAATATGATCAGGGGTGAAAGGTACTTGATGTTGGTCATTATGTGTTGTTATTTTGAGTTGTGGTCCAATTGTTTGAGGATCTTTTGATATGTCCTTTGGGTGAAATTGCTCTTCAATATCTTTATAAATGCACTCTGGAAGTGGTAGGAAATTCAAATGGTTCACGGAATCAAACTCTCTTAATAGGTTTGACAACTTCACCTCTTCTTCATTGTACATCTTCATCTCATTTCCTTCCATCTTTGATTCCTTATGTTGATGATGGATAGAAATTTCTATATCTTCATGTATTCCTCTAGTATTATCAGTTGAAAGTCCTGAGTTTCAATCACCACCATATTTCAGATGTTTGTTGAACCAGGAAGGGAGATTGAGAAAACCTTTGGTAAGCTCAGACAACTTACCTCCTGTTTCACTTGTTTTTGTGGAATCTTCCCAACTTTGAATGAAAGGGCAATAATCAATGAAATTTGAAGTAGAAGTTACATCTTTGGGTGAAAATTCCAGAAAATTTGTAGACAAGAGAGGAGAATCACTATATTGGATATCCTTATGGGATTTTACTATTCCATTGTTAGATGATCAGACACAGCTTGACAGGGAATTATCTTATATTAGTAAGGCTCCGGATCTTAGTCAATGTGCTCACCATTTGATAAACCTTCTTCAAAATCTTTGTTTGAAAATCTTCCTTTAACCAATCCAAAATGGGTGTGAAATAGAGTAGAGAACACATAAGAGAGTTTCCAAATCTCAATATAGAGCAACATTGAAATTGTGAAATTATGAGTGATTGTTTTGTTGATAGATGCTTTGAGGTTGAAAACCTTAAAATAATCAAGCCATGTTGGGTTTACAGGTTACTAGATTTCATACATGCCTTATCACTCTTATGAAACATGGTCACGAAAAATTGATGTTTGAAGCTCATATGCCACTCATTGAAACAGGTTGAGTCCCCACCTAGCATTTTGCATCTATTTTCTATTCTTGCCTCTTCATTTGACATATGTCTCAAAGAAAAAAATGTGTACAAAAGTAGGAGTATTTGAGGAAAACCCTTAGAAATTCACCTCACAAATCTTCACAAACTTATCAGTCTTGGAACATCCACAAGCATTACATTAACATGAACATAAAGTTACAGTAGTTTGGTGTGATTGTAGAAAGAGATTGCAAGTGCTTTTTTTGAAAGTCTTGTGGTGGTTCCAAACCTGGATTTTTTTTGAGTTGGTTCTGTTTCCTGAAATTCTGGACAACACATAACAAACAAAACCTGGAAATGTTGATATGGTGTCTACAAATGTGTTATGCCAGTTATGTGATTAGGAATGTTCCTGATTACTATGTGTAAGAAAACTTAGGAGATTGAAAGCAGTATTTCTGAAGATGTTACAAGAGCCGCTGCCTACTCACTCCTCTTCAGTGGTTAATTTTTTCTGATAAATATAGATTACTGGGGAAAAAGAACCATGTAAAAATTGACTGCAAAAGCATTGACTGAAAGCTAGGTCGGACCCGGGTAGCCTTGGGCACGGGTGTACTCGGTGATCAAAGATTGGGCCGGTTTCGGGCCGGGCTCTTCACGATCTGTGGACGGCGTTTGACCTTGGTTTGGAAGGTTGTTCAACGATTCGAACGAGTTCAAGAATGACAAGCATCCTCTTGTGTGATCCAGCTGACTATGATCACGAATCATAGTTCCTTTTATTATCGCAGCAGTGATGGTGAAATTGAGATTGACGAAGACGGTAAATGAGAAGTTGAACTCGATCTTAAAAAATTATCGATCAGAACTACCAAGTGAACTTCTTATAAGGCTTCAACCTCAAGATCTCGATACTCCCTCATCAGATATCGAAGGGATTCATTGGATACATCATTCTACTCTTGCGGATCTCATTAGTTTAATTCGCATATGTGGTACGTACTCTCATCATAATATGGTTGTTGGAAACCCATGAATAATTGCGCTTTTTGATCTTTTAAACCTATCAGATAGAAAAGCAGGCCGTCAATGCCAGTGGTCTTTGGCTGAATTGCTCAAAGGCGTAGATATTTATACATGCCCAAAACCTATTCGTCATGGAGTGAGTCTCTTCTCACGACTTTATCATATTCTCTACTATTTCATTGGACCCTATACCAAACCAAGATGAATATCTGACGAATGAGATGGATTTATAAAAATCAAGTCAATAGAACTAGAAAAGATATTAAGTAATATCAAATTAAATCAAGAAACAGATGATACGAACGAATGATTTC